AGTGATAGCGATTGCTGTATTAGTCGTATTATTTTTTAATCAAGCACAGGCAACGCCGGGCCATGCTGCTAGTATATATATATATATATATATATATATATATATATATATATATATATATATATATATATATTTATTCTTCATCGACTCGGAGTTTCATGCACAACACAATCTTCAGGTACTGGGTAGAGACTGGTCTTTACATAATTTAAATTTTAATAAAAAATAACTGGTTAACGCAATCCTAGCGCAGTATATATATATATATATATATATATATATATATATACACTAATGAGCCAAGAACTACCTACCAAGATTTCACCTAACGGATCTTCAGGGCTAAACTTTTTATTTCTTTTGGCAAGGCATTGCAGTCACGGATGATTTTTCGACCAACAAGGATGTTTTTAGTTTTTTCATTTTTTCTGAATTTTTCGCTGATACCAGTTTGTTTATATATTTATTTTTTTTATTTGCAAATTGTACTATTCCAGTTTTTTCGCATCAGTCGAGTATCGGTATTGAAATATACATAATAATTATAATAAAAAATAATAAATATATATATATATATATATATATATATATATATATATATATATAGACAGGAATTACATTTTATATTTAAAATAAACGGGGATTAATGATATTATTAAAATTAAAATAAAACTATAAAAACCTAAAACTATTTTTTAAATAATTTAGAATAGACTGGATTTATATTTTATGTTAAACATAAATGAAAATTAGTGTGTTTTTTTATTTTGTTTAAAAAAAATAAATGAACCTAAAACTATAAAAAAAACATTTTGTACAATTTTTTTAAATCACTCCAAGTTAGATTATCTACTAACTCCATCAATAAGGAAATATTTGATAATAAAATTAAATATATAAAAGCATTAGAACTAAGCAACTATAAAGTAAATTTAGAATATTAAAAAAAAGGTAAAAATAAACAGACATCGTAATGTTATGTTTTAACCCCTCTTGTAATTGTAATGTTCAAACGAACATTGGAAGAATTTTCCTAAATTTAATTCATAAACACTTTAATCACCCTGCAATACTAATGAAGATGTTTAACAAAAATAATGTAAAGATCAACAATAGCTGCGTTGAAAACATCGAAAAATCGATATCCTTACATAACAATATTATACTAAATAAATATATGTCCAACAAAGACAACAACGTTAACCATCTTGAAAATAAATGTAACTGCCGAAAAAACACGATCTGTCCCTTAAACAGCGTATGTGTGACTGATAATACTGTATACGGAGCTAATATATATTCAGGTAACGAACACAAATTTTATTTTGGTTCTACTGAAAATTCTTTGAAATTTCGCTTCTATCATCATCGAATGACTTTAGACAATGTAAGATACATGAATTGCACTGCTCTCTCCAAACATTTCTGGCAATTAAAGAATGATGGTAATACACCCATTATTACGTGAGATTCTGTAGCACAAAACAAATCTTACAATGGGAAAGGCGGTAGATGTAATCATGCCTTGTATAAAAATTAGTTATCTTAAAACACTTAAATAACCCTACTTTATTAAACAAGAAAAATTAATTGATGGTCACATGTTGGTATAAAAATAAATATGTGTTAAAATACGTTGATCCTGATTAATTTTTACTGTAAATTATAAACTTTTCTTTTTTTTTTCTTCTGTTCACTTAACTTATATACAATTTTTTATGTCCGTTTATTTTAATGCATTTTTTTTAAATCTCCGTTTATTTTAAATATAATATAAAAACAAAACTTTTAAACTTCGTTTACATAAAATATATAAATAATAAATCCCACTTTAAATGTATTTTTTAAAATTTATAATAGATTTTCAATAGTAAATAGTTCTATATTTATTGTTTTAGGTCCGTTTAATTTTATATATATAATTAAAAAAAACAACGATCCCCATTTATGTTTAATATAAAATATAAATCCCAACTTTCAATAAT